CGCGGGGCGGATGGATCCTCCAAGCGGTATAAGCCATGGCTGAGACGACCACTAAGCAGAATTTCCCGGGTGGCTCGGTCCTTAACAAAAAGATCAAACGGGTGAAATTCACATATGACATTGTTATCAAGAGTGAGCTTTGGAACAGATAACAGATTAAGAGTCACCGAGGGGACCCGTAAAATATTACGAAGATGAAGCTTCCTAGATGGATGACTAGTTAAGAGAGATGCTTGACCAACGTGAGAGATGGGCATACCTACACCGTTGGCGGTGTGAACCTTGTCGGGACCGTAGTATGGCTGATGGGTGGACAGCTTGGTGAGCTCGTTCGTCATGTGATTCGTGGTGCTAGTGTCCATATACCATGCAGGATCAATCGGATATGACGGTGTATAGCCGGGGTCGACGTGTGTATCCTTGCTCTTGGTGGCAACATGAGCAGCAGGAGGGCCAAAATCCGCCATGGCAAACTGTCGCACATTACCTTTTCCATCGTTACCAATACCCAGAAAGCTCCGCTGAAACCTCTTGTGGCACTTGGAGGCAACATGCCTCTCACGCCCACAAAGTTGACAGCGGACAGGGCCGCCGCCCGAGGGTGGCGCTGGCGGGGAGGTGACGCGGGCAGGCGGCGAGAATGCAGGGGGGCGCTGGCCTCGCGAGGCCCAGAAGGCCGCGGGCTGGTCAGCGATGGAGTTGGTGGCGCGGCGAGCTTCGATGCGTTGCTCGGTGAAGAGCAGCCGGGAGAAGAGCTCGTGCGGCCGAAGCGGCGGCTTGGTGTTGTGGACGGCCTCGGCAAGGTTGTCGTAGTCGGCATCAAGACCCTTAATAACATAGCCGGCAAACTCCTCATCACTCAATGGTCGACCAATAGAGGTCAATGTATCCGCCAAGACCTTGAGCTTGTTGAAGTATGTTGTGGCCGAGGAATCCAGTTTCTTGACATCATCAAGCTTGCTGCGAAGAGCCATCGAGTGGGCGGTGGAGGTCTGGGCAAACGCATGTTCCAGCATCGTCCACGCATCCAAGGAGGAGGCAACAAAGAGACAGAGGCCAGCGACCCCGTCTCCAAGGGAACCCTGGATGGCGGAGAGGATCGCTTGGTCCTGTTGCACCCACAGGCGGTGCGCCGGGTTGATGGCCGGGCCGTGGACGGTGTGAAGAACCTGCGGCGGACACGGCAGGGAGCCATCGACATAACCAAGGAGGGAGCGGCTGCAGAGCAGCGGTAGAATCTTGGCACGCCAAAGCAAATAGTTGTCCGGCGTGAGACGAGTCGTGATGAGGTTGTCGAAGTGGAACGGCCCGGAGATCATGGCGGCGTCGGTGGCAGCGACCGCGGAGACTGCCAGGGCTGCAGGTGGCCCACCCGCATGTTGATCATCGGAGCCCCCCGAGGCCGCCGGCATGAGGGCGAGTGTCGGGGACGAGCTAGTGGTGGAGGCCGATAGCATCACCATCGCGGTGGTGGAGGCCGCCGCTATCGACGGCACAGGAGACGGCGAGATCGGGGCGGAAAACAGCGAGCCCACCGCCGTGGTGCCGAAGAAGTGCAGCGTCGACGAGGCACCAGTGCGAGCAGGAAGATTCAGCAGGGCAGGCAGCGATGCGGGTATGGTCCCAGAGCTGGCGGAGCTAGATGCGGAAGCAGACATGGCAGCAGCGGCGGCGGCGGCCCTAGGGTTAGGGCACGGCGGCGGCGGCGGCTGGGGTGGAGGTGGATTAGGTCCTAGGTTTAGGCTGATACCATATTAGACGTAGGATTTGTGGGAACTGGCTCAACCCTCTAGGGGTGGCCTATCACATGTATTTATAATGATACATAATATACATATTACACAGTTGGGCTACGTTACAAAGTCTAACAGTGTGCATGCGCCCGCCCGCGCACGCCCGTCCCCGCGCCTCGTCGAGCTCACCCACGCCGGCGCCG